AGACAGCCGGGAAATGTGTCTTGATTATAAACCAGTGAGAGTGTGTGTGTGGTGTGTGTGAGCAGCGGTGTATCCCAAAACAAATTAAGTGGAACCAACAAATTCCTCATGCACAAACTATTTCCTTTTGAGGCTGGATGGATTTATTTTTCATAGCATACTTTTGCGGGCAGTGTTTTGTGCTACCTTTACTGCAACGAAAAAAGTTCGCTGAAGGAAGTTGACCTAGAAAATGGCTTTATAAACTTTGACAACAAAGTGTGTTCTAAATTTTCTCATAAAGAATATATTTACTTTTAATATGAGAATTTTTTGAAGGCTTTATTTTAATAATGGTTAAGTAAATAGATTTTTTTTAAAGGCTAAATAGATTAACTGCTTTCTATTATAATTATCTGGAATTTCGGTTATAATAAAACCTTAATTAATATTATCGACATGTATTAAATCCTTGTTTTTTAATGCAATATGTTAAAAGGTATATAATTTATTAAGTTTTATTTTTGATTTTGGAAAATCAAGCCACAATTTAATTTTAAAATCTTCGTTAAATTCACATTCTTGACCATAAAAACTTAATTTATCATTAAACAAATTAAAACATTCCATAATGACCAGCAATTAATGCATTCGTTAATCACTTTAAGCCAATTAATAAGGTCAACTCCTGCGGAAAATATGATCAACTTTTGGTGGCAAGTGTGGAGTATCCTTGCATTGTTTCCAATTTGTAGCCTCTTTTTGTAGCCTTTTTTTCTTCTTTTCTTCGGGGTTAATCATGCGAGCAATTAAGCTGCTCTCGATTGGCGCTAATTAATGAACAGCATTAAAAATTATTATGTGTGAAGCAAAGAAGCGGCGCAAATATGACAGCCGTCTTTTCAACAAAGAACCGACCACGCCCACCCAAAACCCCCGCCCACATACACAATTTCAATTTTCGTGCCATGTAATTTGCGTGGATAATTTATATGCACGGCAGGCGCACATATATGTGTGTATATATAGAAGACGCTCCACACCTTATCCCCCAGATGGGCGATATTGCTCCTGGTGCGAGATGAAATAAATTTTGCAGCATCATTTAAGCTTAATTAAGACATCCCAGCCACAGGCGATGATGGCCAAAAGAGCAGCGAGCGAATGGCGGCCACAAAAGCCTCCCAATGCACCGTGCTCAACATAAATAAATGAGTGACTGGATTCTGGAGTGGTTCGATGGTTCAGTGGTTCGGTGGTTCGGCAGTGCGGTGGTTCCCATTTGAGTGGTGGCCGCGTGCATATTCAAGAGGGCCAACATCTCAATGCCCATTTGATTTCCAGCCAACTCACGAGGCCACGCATTAAATCGCTTAGACAATGTCAAAAGGCATCATTACTCAACGGGCTGCTGGCAGGCCACGTTCAAGACCCAACCAATTGCCCTCGTCATCTCAAATGAGTGGTGCGATAAAGCAGTCAATAAGCAGAAAGGGGAGAACTGGAATAAAGAGCAGGGTTTGGAATGTATGATACCTGGTACTCAATGTCTTGATAGGAAATATGATCAAAACCTATAAATAATGGAAATGGTTAAGACTTTCCCTAATCTTTATAACATTTCCGGATTTCTTTTTTAATTTTAGATTTTTAAAATCAAGTTTTAGTAGAAATATGCCTTAAGTGCTAAGTTACTATTCGGTAACACAATTCCATTAAAGTTTAATATCTTTTTCTTCCCTTTCCCATTTAGTTTAACTCAGTAGAAATTTGTCTTAAGTGCTTAGATACCATTACATTCTGTAACACTATTCCATTGGAGTTCAATATCCTTTTCTTTCCCTCTCACATTCAATTCAACAAAATACAATATACCTCCGTTCCTAACCATCACCAGGTATACACAAGAACTGGAATAAAGAAGTAGTATAGACTCAAACAGAAAAGGAGTATTCCGTGTAATTCGATTCCCAGCCAATGTTGATTTTTAATTACCGCGAAGGCAACGAAATGAAACGATATTTACTATGAAATTCAATGCTATTAAACACAATTAAGTGCGTCGGGCTCCGCAGCTTTCTAAATTACAAACCCAACATAAGCAGGCAATTATGGGGGTGGATCAGGGGGGTTTTATAAGCTTAATTCATTGAGGCAAAGGTTCAAAGTGTTGCACATTACGCATCATTTCAGTCGACTTTCACGACCCGCGGCCCTTTACCCATATTTCCCTTGTGTCTCTGCCAAAAAGTGGAATGGAGAAAAAAACAGTGCCGAAACAAAAGCGTGAAAATTGCAAAAGTTTTCTTAATTGCTCCACGCGGCTCGTCAACGTTGTCGAAAATTAAGGGCAAATATGCAAAGTCATTGTGTGAGTGGGTGAAGCGAGTGGGTTTGGGGACGTAGGTGATGGGTTTTTTGGGAGGTACGAGGATACGGGGTTGGGCTGTACTGGCACTGATGGAAGGGTCTGGCCCCCATAATGATTAAACCAACCCCAGTCGCACGCACATGGGGAGAAAAAGTGAGAAAACCCACTCGAATCGCGCCCACTTGCACACATGCCGCTTTCCCATCGGACCCAAATGAGGAAAATTCAGCGGTGGCAATTGAATTCGAATTTACCCCTTCTTAAAGCAGCCTTGGGTTGGTGAAAACGGGTCTTTAAGTAGAGGGAAATGATAGTATTAACAAGATTAAATTTAAGATTGCCTCAGACAATGATCTCAGTTGGTTAAACAAAATTCTAACATTATTTAATAGATTTTTTTCAATAAATAGATTTAATTATGTTATTGTTTTTGATAATAGCTCGTTGCATAATAACTCTTGAACGCAGATAATGAACTATGGAAATGCATCTGACATTGTTCCATACAAGCCTTATGATCTGAAAACATGATAACACTAATTACTTAAAATTAATATTTAATAGTTCTAAGCAATCCCTAGTTGAAATTTTGTATTGTTATTGCACTAAGCTTCTAGCTATTGTTGCTATTCCCTTCAGAGCATTCAGGAACACACTCGATTATCTTAAAACTGGGAATTTTCGTATTAGAACTTCCCTTCAAAGTTGTCTACAACCTCCACCGCAAAATGGCTTGTCTTCTGGGAATAGGAGAAACATTAACATGAGTGCAGTTAACAAACCACTAAGCTGAGCAGCGACAAATCCACATGTCCTGCGAGTTGAAGGATTCAGGATGCAGGATGCAGCCAGCCAGTCAGACAGACAAAAAGGAGAGGCATTTGCCAGCTGGATAAATGGAGACTGTGGTGCTGCAAATGCCAATTGCAGTGGAGCAGCTTAAATTAAATGCCACATTCACTCAAATTTACCCACATTAAGCATATTGAGCTTGCCACGCCCCCTTTTGCTTGGAAAAGCGCGTCACTTGGGTGGATTTTCCCAGCTGCCTTTTGTTTAATGAAGCCGAAGTTGTGGGTGCGCACTTGCACGTTTATAAACACAGGGAAAAATTAAGGACAGGTGTTCGAAAAATATTGCAAAAAAAAACAATCCTTATTTTAAGAAAAAACCCTCTGTTGTTAATAACAAAACAAAAAAAATTATATTTAAAAATAATATTTTAATAATAATGCTTTTTTTTATATTTTATTTATCATATTGATAAATCATTAAAAACAACTATTGTCACAGCTGTTTGCATTGTTTTTCCAGTGTATTTATTTGTGTGAGCGTTGGGCGCGTGCATGTGGAAAAACAGTTTTCGAATGAATGCAAGTTTTAATCCTTGAAATATGATTTGAGTGCAAATATTTTGCATAACCATGAGCCCGACAGTGAAAAGGGTTGGCCGCAGAAAAAGAAAGGGGAGACTTGCGGTTGCCATCTGTGTGAGTGTGTGCGATTGTGTGTATGTGTGAGCAGTGACACAATTCCGCTTGCAACATGTGTGTGTCTGTCTGTGTGCACTTGTACTTGCCAACCGCAAACACTTCACTCTCTTGAAGGTTGCCCCTTTCTACTTTCTACTTTCTCCTCTCAGTCCCCTAACCCCTTTTTCACAGCTTCTACCGAAGAGCAGAAGCCACAGACCCCATTTGCAGAATCAGTTCCCCGGCGAACAGTGGTTTACTTTGTAGAAAACATGACAAGCAAATAAATATCTTTAAAAAATATCTTATATCCTATTTATAAAGTAATCATAAGGTTGGATAAGCTCTGGAATATGGATAAAATTTTTAAGCTTGTATTAATAACTGCATCTAAAAACACTTTTCGAGGTTTTTAAAATATTTTCTTTATAAAAGATGATCTTAAATATATTATTATGAGATTGCTATGTATGATATACCTCTTCTTACCTAAATATTTAAATGTTTCTAGTCTTGTGTGTTATGAGAATTGGTATTCTGAGGATTTTTTACATGATTATTATGGACTTTATCAAAAACTATTCGCAATTTTTTAGTGATAAAGTGTTTCACTGTACATTGCACTAAAACTAGCACCCTGTCTGCCGGTTTAAAAATGCATTTGTTCAGGACCCTCGGTCATCATTGAAGAATAAAAGCTCACGGGCCTAATACTAGTGCCCTGGGCCACTTGGACTCACCTTTCGACCACAGGGCCTAGTAACATAGCACTTTTAATGAGCAAAGTTAGGGCGGTACCAGGATCCGACCCCTTTTTACCCCTAACCCGTAACCCCTGAACCCCTTAGTCCCTGACAACTGACTGCATCCAAAGAGTGTTACTCAGTGTGTAAGGGGTTTTTTGGGCGTAACCCCATCCGAGTGACTGAATGAATGTAAATGTCATTTCGTGTGCGACTGGCATGCCACACAAATTTCTTGCCAACAGCTGCACTTTGGGTTTTTAATATTTTCGTGGCAAGCCGCACAAAGATAAAAGGTTCGCATTTGCATATATATGTATGTATGGATGGAAGGATGGGGGCTTAGGTTTAGGTGCATTTGTGTCTATTTCCAGCTTTTGACTTTTTCACACCGAAATTCACTTCTCACCCGGCTCTTTTTGCCTCCATTTTCAGACATGACAAATGGCGGTGTGCAGGGACCCATCGAGGGCTACAACTCGCTGGACGACCTGCTGACAACCACGCCGACTCCCGGCCAGGCGGCCCTGCTCCTGCCCACCGCGCCCACCGCCGCCTACACCCATCCCAAGTGGATGGAGCCCTACTTCGATCCCTCGACGCCGCGCAATGTCACCGCCCTCATGGGCAAGTCCGCCTATCTCAGCTGCCGTGTGCGCAATTTGGCCAACAAAACGGTGAGTTTTGGCTTAAAGGTGGTGCACTTGGAGAAAAAGTATGGTTTTATATGTGGAGTAAAATTATAAATATTAAATCACTATTAATTTGAGGTTAAAAAATTTTAAGGAATGTTTTTTTTTAATGTTTGGTTTATAACTATTTCCACTTCATTTAAAAATGTTGTTAAGAACGTTAGAATTTTTTAAAGGCGTTCCTCTATTTTCGTTCATTAATAGAATAATTTTTAAATATATATTATTAAAACTGAGTGTTGACCAATACTAATGTAAATGCCAATAACCATACCAATCGCAATATTCCTTTTACCCAGAGTCGTTAGGATTTTCTGTTTTTGGATTATATAACCCAACCCAACAGTTAGAACTTTTAATTTGACCAATGAAATAGTTTCTTTTATAACAACCAAATACACACTCAAACTATTATATGGAAGATTTACTATATTAGTTTTACCATAGTTACAGTACCTTTACGGTTGGTTTAAAATTTGTATGATTAAAGGAGTATGTTAAAGTAGTTTTACTATTTTATTAGTAGTCTTACTATTTATATTAGTTTTACTATTTCATAGTAGTTTTTTCATTATTGTAGTTGCATTATCTTGAAGTAGTTTTACTATTTATGGCGCGGTAAATAGATCTATTGCAATTAAAGCTATTCGATCGCATATTTTATTGTATATTGTATTGTATTGGTTAGCTGAGTAACGCTTATATGATAGTCGATAGTCTTTTTTGTTTTTGAATTTTCTTTTAAAGCCCTGAACTTTTGATTTTTTTTCAGTGTATATCTGGGACTGACTGTTTTTGGTGGGGGGCTTACGGGGTTAACAGCGTACTCGTGTCGAAAAGTTTGTTGTCGTGCGTGACGACAACGAGTCGCCTTGCCATTAAAGTTTGCAGCAACTTTCGTTTATTCTCCATGCGCGGAATAATTTTTATTTTTTGTGCCCGCCTCTCGCGTTGATTTCTTGGCTGATTTCCTAACCTGGTTGCCGACGCGTAGACAAAATTGTAATTCCCCTAGCATGATGGTGAAATTTTTAATTAGTTCCTTAACCTCTTGGCCCGCCCCCTTTGTTGACGTTTTGCGGTAAGGCGACTTTTAAGTTGGCTTGAAGTTGTTTTCTTTTATTTTTTTTACTTTTGTTTTGTCTTCTGGAAATTTAGCAATTTCATTTTTTGCCTCCTTTTTGTTTTTCTTCTGCCGCCGCTGTTGTTGTTTTGCAATTGTTTCCTTTGTTTATCTGCTTTAATTGCTCCCCTTTTCCGCTTTCTGCGGGGTCAGAAGACAAAGGTCGGCCGTAGGCAACCTGCTGCTCCTTGGGCCTAATCTCCAGTGTTTTCCCGCTGTCACATTCAGAAGGCATAAAAATTCCCCAGATATATTCATGTGTTTTGTAAGCATTTTGTACCATTTAATTGGGGTAGATGGGCATCCGTTGAAGTGTGTTTAATGAAATGTATATAATTGTCAAAAGGTGACTTTTTTAATATGCCCCAGAGATGGGTTTATGAATAATTAGGCAGTGACAAGCGATTAATGAGGGGCACACATGTTTGCGCCCCCGGAGATAACTTAACTTTTAACTCAAAAAAAAAGGAAAATATGCAAATAGATTTTCCCTTCTTTTCCTCGGCAAAGTGCGATGCCGAAAACCAACAAACTTTCAACACGCTCGCGAGCACTTGACACAAATGCGCCACCAGGAAGTGGATCCCGCTGCCAGCCAGTGAAATGGAGATGCGGATGCTGATGCGGATACAAATGCGGATGCGGATGGCGTTGCAGGATGCCGTTAGCAGGCGCAACTTTTAATTTCTTGCCAAACAAAAGAGCGACGAGTGGCAGTCCCAGAAAACTCAGCCATGTCGGCTAACACATACATCAACTGTTAAACCTCAAGTGGGCGCGCCTTTTTCAGTACCATAACCCCCTGCCACGCCCATGCAGTAACCCCTTAACCCCCCTCTCAATTGCATTTGAGCGCGAAATTATTTAAACAATTTCATGAAATTGCTCTCGCCGCACGCGTCAACAGCACTTGGCTCACAGTCCGAGTTGCACGAAGCCCAAAGTTTCAGTGCCGCCACAAAGGACCACCCCGAACCACCCTGAACCACCCCATACCGCCCAGCACAACTTTGCACCACCCCGGTGGCTCCAATGGCTCCCCCCACTGGGCACGACTTGCAACTTGAAGCGGAATGTCGAGATGTTGTTGCTGTTTTTGATGTTGTACACGCAAAAAAAAGAAGTTGTAACTCAAAATATTTCAGAGTTCCGTTTAGTAAGCCCTACCATAAAAAAATTATACTACTTTTATTTCAGTACCCCTTTTTTACATGACTCTTAATAATATTTTTATCAATTATCATAAATTTTTATGTCGAATCTCAGAAACGACTAAACTATATTATCAACAAAATAATTACAAACATATTTTATCATTTTTTATTTTATTATCATCTCTGATCAAGTCAATATTTAAAACTTTAGGATCATATTATATTTAATATGTATTTAATTATCTTCACTTTATAAAGCTGTCATCAAAATTTAACTAAATATTTAATGATTAAAATGACTTAGTAATTTCAACAAATTTTTTTTTCTTAAGTTCTGGTAAATATAAAAAATTACAATAATATAGAATTCAAAAACTTGGTTTCGTGGTTGGCTAAAGAAATAAAATAAAATCACCAAACAAAGATTGTAACAAAGCAATTAGTAGTAAGAATGTTGAGTTTTTCCCACAGTTTGTTGGCCTTTTTTTAAAATAATTTCATATATTTTTTCCCTCTGCATTTCCCGTTCATATTGCAGAGGCGTGGCTGCTAATATGAGACCGCCCCCGTGGGGAACAAGAGTTTGGGGTTTTGGGGGCGTGGCTCCATTACAGCACCGCATGCAGCACAGCGTGCACTTGTTAATTACGCTTTAATTTGTTGCGTAAAATGTTTGTTTAATGGCGGCGATGTCGTTGCGAGTGTGCGGGAGTTGTCAAAAGTGCGAGCGCCATGTTTTTCTCACTTTTATGCACTCTCGCATGCACTTTCACCGAGCCACCGAACCTAAAACAGAACCCATCAGGATGAAACCCAGCCATATCCTCGGCCCGAGAACTCAATTGTTGAAGGCGGCCCTCGAAAGTATGCAACACAACATTGCGTATAATTAAACGCACGCATCATTGTGGGCGGTGAAAGGGGCACTTTCTTTTCACTGGCGGAATTTACCATACATACGTGTGGCGGTGCATGTGGGTACTTGGCTGTCAAGTGCGATAATTTTGCATTTACATTTGACTTAATAAGTTTACGTAAGCCGCCCTGCCAGCTCACAAAGTTATCTCTGTGCACCGCAAACTACTTAAAAAGTTTGTGATAATTAAGCAAAGCCAAAAGCAGCTCAAGCACGACCACCAGCAGCAACGGCCCCAGAGATTCCGCCGAGATTCGGGGATTCCCCTCCTGCAAACCAAAAACCAACCAACTGAAAATTCAAGCAGTTCGTCACACGTTGCTCATACGTCACGTACGCCCGGCGAAAAAGATGCAAAACTTTTTCAACGCCCTTCGCTCCCTGAAGGCGGTCTTTTATTCGATTTTGATGGCACTGCGTCGGCAATTCGTTTTCAATTGCTGCATTTTTAATGGGCCAGCCGCTGGCTCAAGGAGCAGACAAATGGCGCGATTTTGGGAGCTTTAAAATAATGATATCGTTTTGTGTGCAACTCGCTTAATTGAAAGAATCTTGAGACGTTTAAGAAGGATTGTCTGAAGGATTTGAAATTTTTAGTCGAAAGAGAATATTGAACTTAAACAAAACGTCTATATTGCTGAGGACTAAGAATTTTAATGCCATACTTATTATATGCCACTTTTGTTTTTATTTTTTTTTTTGTACTCTGTTGCCAAAAGTTTAAAACTTAAGGTACAGGGAGGAATCGACCATAGTTGCTAAGACTTTCGGCCGGACTTTTGATTTTAACATATATTTTATAATGCAGAATTCTGCTATTAAAAAAAAACCTAAGCTAGTTTTTTAAAGATTATATGTACTCGTAATATATCATTACTTGTCATCTATTTCATCTTTTTTTAAATTGTCCACAGATTAAAAGAATTAGTTTAAGGGAGTGAAAATATTTAAATACCTTTCTACATTTTTCACGTAGCTCCATTAAATCTTAATATATATTGTCTTTATAAAAATATTTTCTAGCTTGAATTTAAAGTCTGCTTTTTTATCAGAACTATATTTTATTTATGTAAAAACCTTACCCTTCTGTAGTAATACATCTTATAAATTTCCCTACCTTTTTCAATTCCGTACAAGCTCTCCATTAGGTTGATTACCAGATTCCGAAACACTACAGAGCAATCCTTTTGATTTAGCCCCGGCAAGAGTACAAATATTTGCGATTGTTTTGGAATTTTGCAGGTGTCCTGGATTCGGCACCGCGACATCCACATACTGACGGTGGGCTCGTACACCTACACCTCCGACCAGCGGTTCCAGGCCACCCATCACCAGGACACCGAGGACTGGACCCTGCAGATAAAGTGGGCTCAGAAGCGGGACGCCGGGATGTACGAGTGCCAGATATCTACGCAGCCGGTGCGCAGCTATTTCGTACGCCTGAATGTTGTGGGTGAGTTGAGGGGTCATCAGATGGGGATTCCGATGCCGATTCGGTTTCGCAACCGGGCTTCATAAAAAATCTACCATTTGTCGTCGCAAATAACAAAGGACTGCTCGGTGAGCAGCCCTGATGACAAAATACAACAAAAAAAGTAAGAGGAGAAATGCGGAAAAAACGAAGTTGTTGACCAAATAAATTACACACGGCAAACGAGTGAGCAACATGCACGGCCAAGGAAAAGGCCATGTCGATGGAACGTCGAGTTCTTGGTTTTCATGCGACAATAATTCCATTTTATCTCGTACTTTATTATTCTACAGTGCCAGCCAGAGGACAGCGCCCACCTTTCGTCCTTTGCGACATCACTTCTTTTTTTATCATACACTTACTTTTCCTCGCCTTTCTTTCTATCTTTTTCGGTGTGTCTCCTACAGTGCCAACGGCCACCATCCTGGGAGGTCCTGACCTTCACGTTGATAAAGGCAGCACCATAAATCTCACTTGCACTGTAAAGTTCAGCCCCGAACCGCCGGCCTACATCTTTTGGTATCACCACGAGGAGGTAATTACAGTTTATTCGTATATCCCAGTCCTCGAGAAGTGCCATCTTAAGTTAGCTCATCTTAAATACTGAGAGATTTCGGGGGAAATCATAAAGATACTATTTTATTTGAACATTTTTATGTATTTAACTGGTTATGGGACCAGATTATACCCCTAACTTATTTTTTATAAATATAATAACTTATTATTTTTATTGGTTATCTTCCGATCACCCAAAATCAATCTAAAAAACCTGATTTTTTTTCTGAATTCCCAAAACATCCCCATTTTTTACTTATTCCTTTAACAGTCTAATTGCCCTCATCAGCAATATTTTATTCGCTTAACAATGATCACTGGCAACTTGGGAACTCTGGCTGCCGATCAGAAAACTTCAATCCCCCTCCGGGCAAACTTCGTTACTCATACGCCACCGGGTGTCGACAAAAGTTATCCTTCCCTCCTTTTTTGCCTTTTGCTGACATTTTGCCCGCCACATCCTTTTCCGATTTTTGCCAGACCCTCATCAGATTTGGGCAGCATATCTCCCCATCGTCAACGTTGTTTAAACGTCAGCTGTTGTTATTTTAATGAGTGAATCAACGCGCTCTGCGTTATCCTGCGTCCTTCACACACGGAAATGCAAATTGCGGGGAAAGGATAACTGGGTCAATGGCGCTGGGCGGACAGGTTATGTTTAAATTACCGCTGCTGACAAATAGAGAGGGATTTTCAGATCATTCCCTGATTAGTTGTCCTTGCCCTGCTGCCAATTAGCCCTGTTGTCTTAGCCAAGTTAAGCAGCATCCACAGCTGGCTAATTGCAGAGTGCTAAATCCGCCACAGTTGCACGCTAATTGCAATGCAAAAGCCAAACAAAATATCAACAAAAAAGGGTCCTTGGTCGTGGCTAAAAAAAAAAGAAAAGCTGAGTTAAATGCGCAGCACACACAAATCCGGCCAACAACTGCTGCTCACTTCTTGCACTTGGCCACTTGGCGTATTTTAATGTATTCCAGGAATATTCTAATTAAAATCCTTGCTACCTGAATACAGGTGAGTGTATGTGTTTGTGTGCCAAGAGTGGCCGCAGGAACCTTAACGCGTCCTTGCTGCAGGCTTTTCTGTCGAGTCCTGCCCTGTTCTGCACTGTCCGTACTTCGTGCTCCGAGCTCCGTGCGCACGGATTATTTACGATCCATGCAAATTTGCTGTTAATTAGTTTAATGGATGGATAAACCCAGTTGATGCACTTCCAGCGCGGCTGGCTGCCTGAAATGCATGCAGCACTTTTTGCCCCGCACTTCCGGTCGGTAATTGTAATTAACGTGTTGCATATTTTCACAACCATTTTTTCCCACCTGAGGTCAGAGGGCGCCTTGACAGCTCCGGCTGGCACATATGTGTAGCTAATTCCAGCAAATAACTGGCATTTCCCGTTGCCTTGGCTTCGGCTTATGGCCAACTTCTTGGCCCTCTTGCCCATATTCAAGTGGAATTTGCTGTCCATCGTTCTTTATTTTACAACATTTCAGTCAAATCCTCTGCCTTAGGCGCTTTTTATGTAGTAGGTATTTGTTATGTTTGTTCGATTCCTATCCTCGAAATATGCGGGCGATTATTGTGTTGCTGAGTGCCACATAAATCAGATATATGCGCATTTTCAATGTGCTACACACATTTTACACAAATATTTTATTTACTTTTTGCCATTGTTTGCTCGTATTATTATTTCCCGTTTGTGTCTTTTGTATAGCTTTTCCCCCAATCCCAATTCCAATCCCAATCCCCAGATTGAAGAAGTCAGGAACAGCTGCAGTTGTCATGAAAATTGCAAGCGGCATGCCATGAATTTTTAAACTCAGAATGACAGAATGTTTTATTTTTTTTTCAATTTATCAAATGACAAACTGCACATTCGCATTTATTCCGACTCGCTGATGCTTGCGACGCCCCCAAACCCCGGGCTCATTAACTAATTTGTGCCGAAGGCAGAATATATTATAATACAAATATGATATTTATGCCGGAGTCAGCAATAATGGGGCCGGGATATCGTGTGCCGACTGATAGGCAAACTTTTCACTTGCCAAAAGTTTCAGCGATAAAGTTTGTGCCATTTGCATTGTTTTCATGACAGATATCCAGTAATTTTTTGGGTGTATTGGGCTTGGTAAACAAAGAAAATGTCAAGCCTTGATAACCATACTCTTTATATTGCAAAAATAGGGTTAAAATATTTTTTTTAAATAATGTGGGATATATATTTTAAAATCAATGTTTAATTTTTAAATAATAATATTAATATATATTATATATTTAATATATTGCAGGTTTATAATAATTATCCTTTACATATAAATCTATGCTAGTTTCAAGTTTTAAATTTTTTGATCTGTCAATTAAAATAATAATTCTTTATTATATATATTCCATATTTTTTGCATAACATGTTATAAAGGTTGTTATCTAAAATATGTAAATGATTTTACAAGTATTAGTCATCTAAAATAGCATTCCATTTATTTTTATTAACGTGGAAATTGTGCAGTCAACATACTCGTATTTCCTTAATCGGTATCAATGTAATGGGAATAATTTTGTTCAATTTCCTGTTCTAGTTCTTGATGTCTATATCATTTAGCCATCGTCATCATTATCAGGGACGCTAAGTTTCCTTTCATTCCTCAACGTATCGCAAATGTCGTCGATTAGTTGGGATTAGGGGGCAAATTATGCGCCTGACAGTTGGCCCGGGGTCTTTTGGCCAAGGGTTGTGAGCTGTCTCATTTCCGCCGCTGTTGTTTTCAGCATTTTTTCTGCCCTTTGTTGGTAGCAAAGTCTTTGCCCCGTCAGCGGCATTATGTGTTAATATCAGTTCTCTGTCAGCTCTCTCTCTGTGCCACTGTGAACTTTGCCCCCACCCTGCCTGTATTGGCAAATTATTCCGGTATTTGCTTTTGTCAGCTGGAGGCAGCGACTTAATATGCATTCAACTCGACTGTTAGAGCCAGTCCTCGAAAGGACCTGCCATCATCCTGCAGAAATCGATAATATCAAGTCAGCTGCCAGAAAGTAATAACCATAATGAGAGGAGCTGCCTGAATCCCCTTGATTTGCATGGCATTCACGCGATCTTTGATGTCGAGAGTTAACTTTAATCACAAAACAGAAATCGAATTCCAATTAAAATCACAATTTCCACGAGTGTCAGTCATTATTTTGCAATTCAATGTACAAGTAGATGAAGGAAGGGGAGATATCCAAATATTCTGTAATTTATTTAATCTTTCAATTTTTCACACTTTAAGGCGGGTCAAAAATTACATTAGGAACAACAGCCGTCGCAACAAGAAATTTTCTGTTTGTCCCCTCATTGTTTTGGCATTATTGTGCGAAATGGAGTGGGTGTTTTGTACCCGGAATGTACTCACGGATCTCCTCCTCCACTTGCAGGTCATTAATTATGATTCATCAAGAGGCGGCGTGTCGGTAATTACCGAAAAGGGCGATGTGACAACCTCATTTCTGCTCATACAGAATGCAGATCTGGCCGATTCGGGCAAATACTCCTGTGCGCCCTCCAATGCAGATGTGGCCAGTGTGCGTGTGCATGTCCTAAATGGTAAGTACCCATTCCCATTGTCCCCGTAATACCCATCCCCACACCCATTCCCAAATTCCGAATTGTTGCCATCCCATCTGGGCAAATACTCGAAAATGCCCCGCCCATGAAATGACATTTGTACGAGAGCGCTTACATTAACTGACAAACGAACCCGACAGCCATCCTCTGCGATGTCATTTTGTTTTCTTTGTTGCCTTTAAAGCACACAAAAAAATCGCCTATATGTAGTTTATACTCAAGGATACAAATTGGGAGTCCAATTTTTACATGGTATTCTTACAAAGTTCCACCATGTGCCTAGTCCCAGACACTTGGGAAAATGTCTTATTCGGGCGGATAACTAAATGAAGACATTAGCGATAAAAACTTTGAATAGGTGGATTTCTGATCTGTAATAAAAATATTCGAAATATTATACACGCAATAATAATTGGTTGAATATGGTTATGGTTATGGCATCATAAATGGTTAAATTATTTTATTATTTATTTTGAAAGTCACACTTTGAAACACATTAGGCACTATTTATAAATAAGCCAGGATTTCTAGTATACAGGGTTTTTTAAATCACTTCAAATGACACTTTAAGTGTCTAAAAGTATGCAGTGATTAAGGGTTTTCGTCTTCAAATTTCATTGTATTTTCAAATTTCTTTGTAATCACGGCGAAATTGGTTTCTTGCTGTGTGGCAAACTTTCAAACGCATTGGCAGCATTGCTTTTGCCCTGGCATCTGAATACATGTATCCGTGACAGGGCGTTGCCCAGCGGGACGTTTTATGAAGTCAAATGGTCCTGGCTTGGAGGGCTGGACCGATTCGGATCCACCAGTGGACACCGGACCAGCGACTGGTGACCCCGACCGCTGACCGCCGACCGCCTTGACCCACTGAAAGCGAACAGAGCCCCGTTTCCGATTGCAATTTCGGCTCATTTCCGCCTGCATGCAGGATGCCCGTGACTCTTTCACAATTGACCGAATCCGGGTCCTTAATAAATTGTGCAGGAACTTAGTTCGCTTGATTTCCACCCGGACCACAAAAGTGCAGCGGTCCAACAACAATCCCGTCCAGCAACTGAAAGTGGCCCAATTTCGGTTGGAAGTTTTGATGTGACCCACGGGGCCAAAGGGAATGGATGTTTTCCAGCTGCCTCGCAGCACATAATCGCATCAATTATGAGCAAATTAATTAGCACACTGCGGTTAATTGCAGTTAAGTGAGTGCCAGACAGAGTTGGGAGCTCCCGGGAAAGGATTTCCACCCGCGCCAAAGACGGATGCCGGCGACATTTACAAATTGCGAGTGAGGGAGTCCATGGGGCAGAGGAATTGTTGCAATTTGCCAGCATAATCGCTGTCGATCGTCGTGGATTTGACACAGTTAAAATAAATTACGTAATTGTAAAGGCCAGAGACAAGGGCAAAAACCAGGGGGCGGTATGGAATGGGAAACCCTACGACAATGACAGCGAATGCTATACAATTTGAACTTTGGGGTGGGTGAGGGAGAGGGGGAGGGTCGGGATCCGGACCGGAAAAGGAAATGAAGGGGGCACGTTTTTCAATCATGCTAACAGCACCATGGTGACCCCGACACCGCCCACCACCCACCGCTTGCCGCAAATGGACCGCGAATGGTAACGTGCGGAAATCCATGCTGTAGCCATTGTAAACGTTTGCCAGCTATTATGCATGAATGCATAGAAATAGAAAACATCGGGAAAATGCCGGGAAAACCCGGGAAAAGCGGAGCTCTGGTTTTCCCACCAGCCAGGTGCTTCGCGGGCAGAGATTCCGGGGCGATTGTGGGTTAACAAACAAAATAATGAAGCAACAGCGCGACCATACAAACGAGCCAAAGGACGCGGCTCTGTAAACACCTCTAGTTAGGTACCCTTTTGAACACCCCCATCCTGACCAAACCTATCCCTATCCAGATTTTTTGGTCATCCCGAGGCAGTATACCCTTTTAAACAAACCTTTTGGGTTTACTCTGCGTACCCTTTTGACCAAACTTATTCACTTTACCTATTTACCAAGTTTAAATTATAGCTCTTACAAATTTATAGGGAAGTCTTAAATAATAATATTTCTTATTAATTTAAAGTACTCAGTAAAATATTTTTTTTAACATTGTTTATATTTATTGAATGGCTTTATACTTATTTTTAAAGTATACGTTTAAGAGTTTGAAATCACAGAAATTAGAAATAAACTAAAAGAAATTTTTATATTTCACATTAAATGTTAAATGTTATTTTTTGGAAAGCCACTTACCACAATACTTTGAAATAAATATAAGTGCGTTTTTGCCGAGATTAGTTTTTATCGACTTAATTTCTACTAAAGCTTGTTCTCTGCTTTTGATAGTCGAATGACAAACCCATTATGGTTATTGAAAAACTATTTGTAAAGCGGATTAACAAATTTTAAATTTGTTGTGGTCTAAGCAAGATTTTTTGTGCTGGCTTGTGGTATGATGGGCATTCTGGTGTTTGAATAAAAGCTTTGTTCAATCGTAATCTGGATAAAAATGAGATTTTCTATATGGATGCGGTTTTGGCCACAAAGAGTTATAATCGGGGGCCACTTGAACTCAAACGTTTGTGACAGGAAAAAGGACCTCGTCTCTTGACAGACAAACTAAACGCAGTTGTGCGTTTGGCTTCGAAAATTGACCAGTTGCCTTGCAATCAGAAATGTTCTTTGATCAAACCACACTCCTTCGGACCAGCATATGGATTAACCATCGAAACAAGCCAGGTGGCCAGAGCTTAATGTTATTATAGGGCAGATAAAACCACCTTATCAGATCTAGAAAAATATCATACCATATGGTATGGCCTCCTAAGAACTGCAACGGATAATCTTTATACAGAGTACAAGTTTTTCTGTTTGACTCTGCCTCTATTTACTGAGATATACTTACGGTTAGAATAAATAGAAAATAATGTAGTGGTCTCCTGCGAACTAAGCGTTATTACGGTTTTGATGCCGGCAATCAGGGTCCGCTTCCCAAGTTCGTAAATATTTAGAGGTCCTAGGCCGCATCCGTCAGAGGAAACGGAAGGCTGTCAGGGGCACAATATGCGGAGCATCTCCCTTGGGGATCTGTAGATGAGATGGGTCCCAGCCACATTAGTGGGCTTTTTGAGAGTCCGGGTGCCATTAAATTGGATATGAAAACCACAGCCAAAAACCACGGTGCATACTGTGCCGCCTTCGAAGCGATTGCATTCGGCACATCCAATGTGCCTGTCAATCAGGCAACAATTGGGTAAATCAGGACTCGGACTCGGTCCTCCGGACCATGTCCCTCCACGTTGCGTCGACGGAATGCCTAAGCAGGTTGTTTGCCCTATTTGCTGCTGATGATTTCGATGCATCCTTGCAGGATGGATGGAATCAGAGGAGGGGGGAGGGCTTCAGCTTCCACCTGGCCCCATCCAATTATGGTAGAAGGAGACCGGAGGAGTTGGGGAATCAGGTGGCCGGGTGCCTCATGGCTCGGCATATTGATATTTGTGCGACGGACAACGCTGCCTGCGCAGTTTACACTTGAGAAATCAAACGGAATCCCCGACAAATGTCCTGCCACCTGATCCCCCGGAAAACGAGGAAATCCCGAGGAAAGCAAAGTTCCAGTTTCGATTTATTTTCGCCAGCTTGAAATTTCTTTGGCTATTTGTGTAGCGCTTTTGTTGGCTGCTCATCAAATGGCAAACGACTCTGGGCAGATCAAGAAAAGTGTGAGAAGTTAAAGCCTTGACCTGCTTACTATCCCCAAAAAAACCGAGGAAAATAAGAGGAAAATCCCCTGGCTCGCTGCACGTATCGAAGTCACCCGTATGTCCATGTCCTGCAAAACACACGGACACACACACACACACACACACACAAACATCCCGAGACTAGAGACGCCAAAATCCTTTAGTCAAGTTTCGCAGGATGGCGAATTTATTCCACTCCGTGTCCCTCCAACAACATCGTGTGCTGCAGATTAGCTTTGTATTTTGTCACAGGAAATTACATTGCGCCTTAAGGATGCCGTAGTGCAAAAATTTCGTTTCATTGTTTGCGCGTTTGTAGTTGTGCGAAACGGTGACTGAGTGTCCGACCTCCTGATCCCGGTCTTTGGACCAGTTGCCATGACCAGTCCTAGCTGGAGTGCCATTCCCCATTCCTCGAACCCCAGTCCCCTGGCCTGCACTGCGGGGAAATCCAGGAATTGGAGAGTACTAGAATCTTCCTGATTTAGGAATGCTTCGTATATGAAATGTACACTTTTAAATGCGAATCTCCTTAAGGGATGCGGATTATCAGATAAAATATAAAAATATATCTATTCTTAGTGGGGGTTTCTATGGAGTTATGAGAAATATGAGAAATATTATTGAAAAAATTATATATTAAATAAAATAACAATTTTAAGTAGTCAGTACTATCTTTGCAACCACAAGAAATATATTTTGCCAGGTTCCGGAGATTTTTTATAGATACAAGTTATAATACTTGAAGATTCTTATCAAGCCTCTTATCATTATCAGTTAGGGTATGAAAATGCATTTAAATACATTAGGAATTTTAGATGTACATAAGTCCACCTTATTCGTTTTCCAACTCTGACATATTAAAGAAGCTTAACTTTCAAAATAAATCTTTTAGGAAAATAATTAAATGACTATTAAATATTGGTTTCTTGAATTTTTAATCAGTTGGTTACTTAATGTAATGGTTTTTTTTCAATGTACTTCTCAGGTACGCTCCTTTGCCGTCTTTCGCCTCTAATCGTGTGTACGTGTGCCACTGAAAGAGGTGTGGGTTCTTTGGTTCGGGGAATCCTAGCAACTGTCCACCTGCCCTCCATTCCTGCCCCATTAGTCTCTACATTAGGAGCTGCGCACAAAGCTCACACTTCCTGTGTGGACGGGTCTATGTGAATGTGACGCACTGTTGTTGCAGCAGCTAGTTTGGCATTCCGGCAACACAATTTAATA